TCAAATACGATGCGCTGTTTTTTTTTCTTGTGCCGTGTTCTTTTTGTTTTCTTACTTTATTAGGTGTGTACAGTGAGTGAAGAAAACGGTTGTTTTTCTTTGGTTTAAATTCAGTTCGATCCACAGTTTGTGAACTGGAGTGATATTTTTTTTCGATTTCTTTGCTTATTTTCGTTTCCTCATCAATTCCCCCCACAAAAACAAACGTTTCTCCGATGACGATTGAGAGAAATTGAACTTGAATATTTAAACTGAATTGAAAGTGATACACTTTTTTCTTCTCTCAATAAAATAGAAGATACAAATTCGATCCCCTCGCAGCAACGTGCATATTTTTTTCTTCTTGTTGATGTTTTCTTATTGAATTTGTGAATATACCTGAATCATTTCATTCAAAAGCCAGATCAAATTGACCGGACTTGTTGTTCGTGTGTTTGAGACCGAGAGATTCATATCATTTCATGTAATCACAAATTCAATGATGATGAGGAGGGTCGTCAGTCATTTTCGCATAATGATGTTCAAACAGTATTTATATGAGATTTCGGTTGTTTCTTCCGTTTTCAATTCCACTTCGACAATTGAATGCGTAATTCAAGAAGGCAAACGGGAAAAAAAACGTGTCATGAAAGCACAGTCAAAGCAAAACAAAAACAATAACACTTTAAATCGATCAATCAAGACTTAATTCAGTTTGACCACTTTTTTCAATGCCGGTACGTTGGATTTATTGTGATTTTCAGTCGATTGTTTGACGGTAAATGAATAAAGAGGTCTATGACCAATATCCTGGTTGTGTGTATGTGTTTTTTTTAACAGACGCGTCGGATATTTAATAAGGGAAACTGTCCACGAATGTGTCGGCTTGGCCGAATAATTCATTGGTAAAACTAATTTTGAAAATACAACCATCGTCGTACGCATGTATACACGCACACACGTAACAATCAACAAATTCAAGTGATAGTGAGTGCTTGAAAAAGATATAAACCATTCGAATGATGCACGCAAATGCGGTTTCAAAGCCAATACCAAATAGCCAAAAAACATTGTTCGCTTGATTTGATGTGTGTGGTATATGTAAATTCGAAGTGCAAACCATTTTGCAAACAGGCCAAGAACTAAAACACACACACCCCCCAAAATGCCATACGGCTTATCGTTGAACGTTGACATTTAATGTAAAATTCTAATGAATTATCAAACCAAAAAAGAGAAAATACAACCGTACGCATCACACACAAATACACAAAACCAACATTGCCGTCACAATGGCACGGCTGATAGATGCGATTTGCATCGACATTGCTAGGCAACAACGATATCCCTTTTAGACAACGATGACCGATTTGAAGGATAGAAGACCATTTTTTTTTTTTCACAATAAAGATTTTCCGTATATAGATTGTGTCTTCTTCAAACTGACGCACAAATTCGAAATAGAAACATTGAAAAAATGAGCCAGATTTTTTTCCTCTTAAAATATCATCAAACAAAAATCATGCCAAATTAAATGTCATTTAATTTTCTTTATTTCATCTAAGCTCATGCATTTAAAACCAACACGAAACAAATGGTTCAAACATTGAATTTAAAATTCATTTTGTCGGCAATAACTTTCAAAGTATGTCACCACAGCCATATCAACTTGTTACTTATCTCATATGATGTGATGATTAGTGGTTTTAATTTTCGATTTTTATCTCGCCATCCACATGTTATTCGACTTTGCCATCTGTTTGGCCGTGTCGAATGCAAATTTTTTTTTTTTTGGTTCGGTATCCGTATCATCAAAACAAATCAATTTCAGCCCACAAAAGAACGTGTGTATGTGGATGGTGGGATTTCAAGTTGGAAATCACTTGTGGTTGGATTGGTAAATAAAGTATATAAGCTGGTTTATTGGTTTATTTGTCAATTTAATCTCCCATCAAATAATCGCGATTGGTGAGAAGAATAGATGAAAAAAAAGTTTCTATTAGAAGAGCGTCATCAACAGTTACTTTAGATGATGTGTGAGCGTTGTGACGAAAGCCATAAATTTGAAACTAATCTAATCTAGCATCTCCATTAGGCAAAACACTCTCTACCGCAAATTGATAAACTTTCTACCATGCATGAATTAATGGTCGTTGTCGTCGGCAGCAGCAACGTTGTTTGGGCATCGGGCACACATGCTTTACACTCATCAAACACCACACAATACAGACACTTCTCAAAGTATCTTTCGGTACAAATGCACTTAGCGGAAATAAATAAGCATTATTAAAAGTGAATTATATTTTGAGTTTGGGTTCGGATCCCAACAACAATCATCAACCAAAACAAGAAATGATGCTGCGCATACAACGAAATTCAATTAAATTATAGTATCTGTTTATTATCACGATTATAGCATATGTAAATTGGTGAAATACTGAAAAAGAAACTAAAAATATGTGTGTGTGTGATGGAAATGGTTGAATTATAATTCTTCTGTTTCCGTTTAATTAGATAAAATGAGGAGCGCATGATGGAAAAATGCCATATTTTCACGCATTTGTTGAACAATGTTGCGCCCATATTTTCGATTAACCGATAAAATTCACACATAATTCATTGCATTCGCATTGAAATCGTAAGACAAAACCAAGGACAAAACAGTGAATAAAAGCTATGATAATTGAATTATAAACCTAATCATATTTAATAATAATATCATTGGGGAGCGAAAAATGGAAAAGAAATAGAGTCAGAGTGAAAGTAACAAACTGCATTTCATATTCACTTTGCATTAAGTATGAATAATACTAACGACATGTTACAGTTTCAGTGGCAAATAAAATAACATTTGCCGATTAAGCCGGGTGATTGTTACCCTCCCGAATGAACGAAACAACAACAAAGCTTCTTTCATTGTGCACTTGATTTGGTCGAAATAAAAGTGAAATGCAATAAAAATGATAAGATGTTAAGATAGACGGCATTTCAATTGTCATAATGTGAGAGCAAGTATTTGAGAGGGGTCAGACACGATACACAGAAATGAAGAGAGTGAGAGAGCACACCAAAACTGGGAGTCAATTCAAATCAACTCCCAAGTAGACAGTGACTATTGGAAGAGGGAAAGAGCGAAAAAAAAAACCTTCTGCTGTTTGTTGGCACTCAAACAAATATTATGCGATTACATCGTATTAAGTTATTTTCATCGTTGCCGACTGAATGAATGGCGAGCAAACGGGACGAATGATGGGCTGCACTCTCTTTCGCGCGCATGGTTTCACTATACACATAAATGTATGCATGTTTGAGTACATCATTGATGGTGTATTAAAACATTATTGCCATGTTTCCACCCTCTGTTTTGATGTTGAATGGGCTTTCGTTTGGTTGCTCTTTGCTTATTGATGTTTTCCCCTATATGTTCAAATTGGCAGGTTCATAATAATGGCAATTTTATTGTCATCATCATCACCAACAGTATGTTACTCTGATTGAGTTTGCTCTTTTCTCTGGTGCGCTCTACTCGGTTACTCCTTGTAAGTGTGCATTTTTTTTCTCGATCGAGTCTGGCGTCAATTTGTCACAATCATGATTTGATAAATTTTTATTTCGTATCGCACTGGATTTTGAAGTGACTTAGCTCGGATTAAGATGTTTTTCATTCGTTGTTGTGGATCGATTTTGTGGTGCACGCATCATGTCTCCCGAAATAGATCAAATCAAATATGTATGGACAATTGTGCATTTTTGAGTCGGATGAAAGTGTACTTTTCAAATTCGATCGATTTTTGATTGATTTTTTGTTACTGGCTCTGGTTTCGCCCTTTTTTTTGCAATAACAATCAGTTCAAACTTTTGAGCATCCATTTTTGGTGATTTATCAATAAATTATTTATGAATTGATGGACAGAACTGTGTGTTTTTGCTATAAAAAAAAACCTGCGTACATTTGAACATTGTACACATATATCGAAATACAGATTTTATTGCGTGTCGTTTGTATGCTGTATATTCAGTAATTTAATACCATGCATTAATCTAAAAGCGATACCAAGAGCAATAAAAAAAGAGGACAACAATGGCAATAACATGCATCACAAGTCTATCGGTGTGTTCCAATGTCGATCAAAGCCGCTAGTAAGTCAGATAGAAAACACCATGAGTAAGGGTTACGTTGCAAACCGATTTTAATTTTTTTTATATATATTCGATGTAGAATATCTCGTATTACTATATATATATACCATCCACTTTTCAATGACATGCATGCCAACGATTCTATATGGTTCGATATTAGCAATCGCGTATCACCGTCGTCAATCGCTGACGGAATTTATATACCATATTTGACAATGAATTCTAGTTATTTGAGTAAATCATCCGAATCCAATACATTTCGCGTTATCGATATCCTTATTCATTATAATTTTCTGATTGATATTTTTGAAATTCAATAAGTCCTCATTCTCACCATCAATCGAACGGCTTAAAAAAAAGGTAATAGCGCCAACACAATGAAAATTGAAAAAGTTTAAATTATTGGTCCGTTGTGCCAACGTTTGGGCGAAAGAAAAATTGAATAAAAGATAAATTTCATGGGTCACACTGTATGTGCCGGTTTGTGTGTAACAAAAACTGAATTAATTTTGTCTGTTGAACGATTCAAATTGGTACATATAGAGAAAATACCAATCCAAAAAAAAAAAATCACCATTGGGCCGAACCGGCAATGGTGTTGTGACTATGGTTGAAATGGGAATAAAATCGAGAAACTAGTTTATGGATGTCACATTTAAATAAATAGCCTTCGGTCATGATGCCATTTTCGGTATTTAATATGTATGCATACAATCGACAAATTAGTTTGCCTTCCTGTGCACAAACAACACCGTATTTTATTCGGATGCCATTTTTTTTACTCTCCACATTTGCTTCTAATCGTCTCTCTGTATTTTAAATCCATCTCAGATTTTCTCACTCGCACTTTCTATATTACTAAATTCTGTGATTGATTGCAGGTCATGGCGGCGTTAATCAATTAGGTGGTGTATTTGTAAATGGTAGACCATTACCCGATGTAGTACGACAACGAATTGTTGAACTAGCTCACAACGGTGTTCGACCGTGTGATATATCAAGACAGTTACGGGTCAGTCATGGCTGTGTATCCAAAATACTTTCAAGGTAAGTTCGATATTTTTGTTTTTTCTTTGTGCACCCCGATATTTATATGTATTTTGGACTTTTCTTTTGAAAAAAAAACACTAAAAATTCATCTCAAAAGCACATAATATTATCTAGTCAATAATTCGCACTTTTTTCAAATTAAAAATGATTACACACATAATTTTCCGAATGATGAGCAATTTAGGTAAAGTTTATTTTGAAAAAATTGTGTATGTCACCTTTATTGCTCTATTATTAGATTTGTGTGATAATGCAAGGTTGCTAGATTTAGATTGCATGAGATTCTCTAATTAGACTTTTACAAATCGAACGTTCAAACAATTTGTTTACCGCTGAAACAAGGTATTTTCTATCATTTTAATATTTCATTCAAAAAAGTTCATTTTCGTCTCAACTTCAACAATCGTTTTTGGGCATTCATTCTTTTCAACAATTTTTGCAATGACTGAATGCAAAATAGAATATCTTTTTTTAAAAAAAATTAAAAAAACAATGCTTAAAACAATTACCTAATGATGTCATTTCAAAACACTACGAACACTTTCAAACAGCTTATGCTGTCAAGTCAAAATGAAATCGATTAAAAGCCAATTTGATGAAAAACAAAGACTATGTTTTTTGTCTCTGCCTCAATATTCAACGTTAATTCATGACTGAGCAAATTAAAACATACACAATGACTATGAATCGAAACGCGCATTGAACAAATGAGTTATTTTTTACGGTAAATTATATAAATGCGTTGATGGTATAATTTTATCATCTTATTATCGTACGTAAGTGTTTGTGTGTGTGTGGGTGCACTGACAACAAACATGCAACACATTAACGATTTGTTCGGTCGACAAGTAGCTACTTGAATGCTTGTCTTTTGTTTGTCGATAAACGGCAGCGATTTTTGATGAGCGCAAATGAGCAATGTGCTCGTTCGTCTCTTAGAACAATATATAAATATCACAAAATGAGAAATAATTTGAATATTTTCATCATTATTTTTTCTTAAGTTTTTCGGTTCGGTTCGCTTCGTTTCCATTGTTATGAATTGTTAGTGCAAACATGTGTCGTGCTCAATTATCCACATAGCGTATGTGTTGCTTCTATTTTATTCATTTGGTGCAACGACGCACACATATTAATAATAAAAATGTTCATTTAACAAATGCGAAACAAAACACCATTTTGTTTTCTCTAGGTAAAAAAAATATAGATATATGTGCTTGTTAAACATCACATTTTTGTTTCCATTGTTTTTTTCTCGATTTCATCTTTGTTTTTCACATTTAAATGAGGTGAAAATAGAGAGAAAGAAAAACAAAGAAACAAGAACTTGCCACCTAATCATTTTCAAAAGGTGTCAATTCAACGATTCATATCTTTCTATTCTTCGAAGCCCATGCAACTTATAAAATTATTCAATTTTACGCGATGAGCACGTGGCATCATTCTTCTTATTTTCTCACACACAGAAAAAGAGAAAAATTACCGTTGAACTATGACTTTTTAAAATTAACATTATTATCTTAACAAATACCTTTGGTTTCTTACAAAGCAAAACTATAATCTTGATATTGAGATGTCGACAAAAGTTCATGCTAAATGCAAGCAGATAAATGTAGCATATAATGTAATAAAAAAAACAACAACATATGAACAACCACATAGTTATGGTGAATCGTCGTGCGATGCCGTTGTACAAAAGAGTAAAAATGAAATAATTCACTTGCTACAATTAAAATGAATTGTTTAATTAATTGTTTTCAACGTATAAATGTGAATAAAATCCACAAAAGCCAAAAACTAATTACGTTGTGTGGCATGTAATAAATCTCAACGCCAATTTATTCATTTCGGCAAATGGATTTGCTCCTATCCTCTTCCGTCGTTGTATAAGCGAAACCATGCCATGCAATTCAAAGAACTCGTGCTCGCTTCGTATACGGTCTTTCACATTTTCGATTCGATAACGTTTTGCCACACATGCTGATTGTTTTCGAAATGTGTGCTCATCCCTAAAACGCCAACTCGATGTAAATTATCGCCGAACTTAACGAGATAAACTGATGTCATTTTTCTTTTTGTACGCCACTAACCTACACACACACACGCGCGCGTATATCCACAGCAATCCTTTTGTTTCAACTATTTGAAGCGTTCACAAATTCTATAAATAGAATACAGATTGGGTTGAAAATAGATGAATTAAAAACGATTTGGGATGTTCACATATTGTTCCTTCGCTGGCTATAAAATTGAAAAACTCAAACCAACAACAAAATAAAGGTCGGGAAAAAAGAACTTTGCATGATTGTTGTTTTTATGTTCCGTTTTAAGAATCCGCAGTCATAAAACACACATTTTGAACATAGGAAAAAGTGAAACAATGGTATTTTCATTGTACATTCTTGGAAAACACGCAAATTTTTCTAGCATTTATTTGGAGTATCTCGACTTTTTTTTTAAATATGAATTTGATTTTTGAATAGTATTGAAATTCCAAAATGTCTTATTTTTGATATTCAAACAAAAAAAAATTCAAGTGACCAAAAAAAAATGCAGTAGATATTAAACAGTTGGTATATTTCACTTGGCATGTATAGAATTCGATTAAAACCCAGTAAATCAACCAAAGCGATTCATATACACTTAACATGCGCATCAATCAATTTGTCATGGTATCGATGTGCGTGTCTCTTCTGACATTTGTTGTTCTTTCACTCTCCATCACGTCGAATTACCAAGATAACCAAAAAAATCTCTATTTCTGGTAACAAACTCTCAAGTATTTGTAACCATTTTTCCCATTGACTGTGTCAAAATCTTCCATTGAAAACGGTGCTTCGTATTAAATCTTCTGCTTGACATTTTTGTTAAACATTTTATTTATTTTTTGATTGGTAAATAATTGGGGCGATCATATGTGAAATCTCTGGTCATCTGGAATTGAATGTAGTTTGTAGAAATTGTTTGGATAGTATTAGCCGGTGTTTCCGACAAAATCCCAAATAATCCAAAATAGGCTGTACTAATCGGATATAAATTTTGTTCATTTTCACAGGTATTACGAAACGGGAAGTTTTAAAGCTGGTGTAATAGGGGGATCCAAGCCAAAAGTAGCAACACCACCTGTTGTCGATGCAATCGCCAATTACAAACGTGAAAATCCAACAATGTTTGCGTGGGAGATTCGGGATCGATTGCTCGCTGAAGGGATTTGTTCACAGGACAATGTGCCCAGCGTTTCATCAATAAATCGGTATGTCAACACATAATTTTGTCCACTTTATTATTAAAACGTCAATTTATGAATCAAACTATGCATATCTCTGCATAACCATCTCTGAATATGAATCAAATAATATCACACCTGTTTGTCGAAAATTTAACATTAAACTGGAGGAAAAAAGCTGAGAGAACAAACAGAAATTACTTAAAAAAAATTCAAACAAAAGCATCGACAATGCAAAATTGACAATGAACTGTAAAAACCGCCCAACACAAATCGACAACCTTTAAAATTGTATTCTTTTGCTGTGTTAAAAGACATAAACAAGTGAATTGGTCGTTTCCAATTCAATAAATAACAAATTTTTTAATGTGCGAACAGAAAAAAAATATACATTTATAAGTTATTGAATCCATGCCGCGTTCCACAAGTGACCGCATGAATTGAATATTGAGAATGAAAAGGTGGATTTTAAAATCAATTTTAACACTTCCAACATCGTCCAACAATAGACGATGAAAGTGTGAAAAATTGTGAATGAACAAAAGAACGGCAACGGCAAATGTTGAAAAAAATTTCAACCGCACAGAATCAAAAATGAGTGAATCTCTCTATTTGAATGAGAAACGATCAGGAAAATCCAGTCATTTTATTCCAATTTTATTGTTGCTTTTGATGATATTTTAATGCAAACAAAGTGCCATTTAGCCAACTCCAGAAACAATATCTTGCAACGAACAGTTCGAAAAATTCAATTTCTGCGAAGAATGAGACTGTGTGAGAGTCGGAGAGATAAAGGGAATCGAAACAAATGAACGGAGATGATTGAAAACAATGGAGAGAGATATAGAAAAAAGGACATCAACACTCTCACTCTTTTACTTGGATGTGCCAAGAAGAGGGAAAGTGGTTGAAATCCATGAATTCCGGTATTGTCAAATTCACAAAGTCAATAAAAGTGTGTACATCTATTTGTTGTTGTTGTTTTTTTTCTGTTATCTTTTTCCAACTCTCTCCCTCGTCCAATCGAACCGACATTATTTTTGAAAATTGCCAACTGAAATACTCAAGGGAGTTTTTGCTGCATTTGCCATCCTTTTTATAATGTACAATGGATGTGGCACAATAACATCAACAAAACGAAATTAAATAATCAATCAAATGCATTATTATTCATTATTGTACATTATCATGTGTAACTTTCAATCGGTATTTGTAAGCTTTTGATTTGAATTCGTAGGAAAAACCGAATCCATTGAAAACTTTTGTTTTCTATGACACAAATTCGCAGAAACATTTGCTGAATTTTCGGAAAAAGGAAATGATATTTGACGGAGAAATGAAAGAACTTTTCCAAATAGACTGAATACACTCATATAAGTGCTTCTTGAATTTCATTGCTGCAAAGAATTAAGATAAAAGAAACATGCAAGATGTCATCAGAAAATGTTATTGGGCATTCTTTTCATTCGATAGCATATTGTCTTCGAAAAAAAAAAAAAAATTAAAATATTTATATATTAATTGTTCATTTCTGCTTGAATTATTTATCGTAACATAAATAAAAATCTGCAAAAGGGTAAAATCTGGATCATAACATAAATTATGCCACTTGAATGGTTTAAATTTCACTTTGCAGTATATCGTGTTTAAAGTACTTGGTATGAGTGGGCACTTGTCTCGTCTAAATAACGGCTCTTAATTAATAGCATACCCTTTTAAAAGGTTAATTTCGAAATCTAATTCCGTATCGTGTTGTTATGAACATATGTTGATTATAATGGAATATGTAACATTGTTTAGAGTGAAAAAAAACAACAACAGCAACAACGGAGAATAAGGTGACATTGAGCGATTATTTTGTGTGCATTTTAGTGTGTATAATGAAGAGTCACTTGGGGAATTTTTTTTTGTGTTATAAAATTGAACTTTGAATAGGTTGGAATGTATGTTTCAAGGGTGACAAATGTGCGTGTATTTCTATCTTATCGGTTGCTTTTCTGCCACATGATGCGTGTTAGTCGAAGTTACGTTTGCAACGACAAATTAATAAGCAAACGAAGTTGTAGTGTTGTGATTGTATATTTTTGGCATACATTGGCCTGATGCAAGAGGTGTGGGAATTGAAAATACCCAGCACGGTGTAATTATTATAATAGACAAATAAAATTGATTTGGTAACAAGAAACATCCTGTTTTCAGTGATAAAATTAGATATTTTGACATTTCACTTTATCTATCTCTCCCCATGTTCGGTGGATTGTTTTTGTTTTTGAAAATGTTAAAAGTCTGTTGAATGATCTATGTTAATCAGTTAACGTAAACGGGCAAAATATCACCGAAACAATGTAAACATACATGCACACTAACGAATACAGAAGCGGGCAAAAAAAATTAATGTGTTGCTTGTTTATGTTCAATATGAAATTATATAATCAACGTTAAACATTCACTGTGAACTTTACTTTCAAATTATAAGTGTGAAAAATATCAGGCCGAAACGTATCAAACCAAAAAAAAAAAAAATAACGCACACGAAAGAAGTAGAGAGAAAAAAAATGATGAGGGGAAGTCAATTGCATGAATGAACACATATAATAGAGCCGCTGAATGTAGATTTAATGCACTACGCATTCGAACACTTTTTTGTGTGCATTTTATGCTGCTGTTTTTATCTTTATACTTGCTCGCTCGTTCACTCACTATCTCGCCTGTGTTAATGTGAATATGTCGATTACAATTCACCCCATTCGAAAATGCGTTATTATTCGTCGCATTTTATCTGCTTGTTGATTTTACACTTTAACTAATAAATTTTTTTTCTCTCGTTCGTGTCAATGTGCAACATGCAATTCCATATGCACTTTTTATTCGGGCCATTGTCATTATTTTTCTGTTCCTGTTCGATTTCAACGTGATACGGACAAACACGCATTCAACGCAATTACGGTATAATGTCATTTCAGCTCATATGTTGAAATATTTTCAATGTTGATAGAGATAGAGAGAGGTAGAGATGGAAAACAAACCCCGTCAAGAGATTGTAGTTTGTTAATGTCGGTTACAAAACGGGTAATTCAATTTATACTCAATGAAATGGCATCTATTCTTTTAACACATGGACCAAAATGTATCAAAAGACAGAAAGGAGAGAGACAGAGAGAGAGAGAGAGAGAGAAATCAGTGCAGATTATTTGAACATATTGACAAATGCACATGATGTGCACAATTACATTGGCGCCCATCAAAAAGAGAACATCGAAAAAAGCCATTCAAACTAGCGAAATCACTCGATTATAGAGTTTATTTATAAAATCTGATTATCACATTTGTTCACATTCAATCGATTTGTCATTTTCCCTACATATGTAGCGGCATGGATGTGTTGATTGCAACAAGTCATCAACAAATGACACTGTTTTGTGAACAATGGCTCCGTTGGGCATAATTCATGATTTTTCTCAATTTCAATTTTTCCAAATAATAAAAACCTGTTTTTACACTTCTCTTGATTTAAATGTGATCATTTAAGTTCGCACTCACAAGCAAGCAATTTCATTTATTAGATACGAATATATTTTACACGATTTAACACCTCCAAACATGGGAAACATCGAGATACCTTCCAACAAAAAGGAAAAAAAATGTTTGCAATAAATATTGCAATGGATTCGAGTCAAAATAGAGATAAGAGCTATCGATTCTTTATGAATTCATCTTGAGTAGTAGCCGAAAGTAATTTCAAAGTGTAAATCGATACACATTCGTCCATTTAAATAATGTGAGCGTAAAACATATACGTTATTTGTTGCTTAAATATCACCTTAAATCATGAGTCTAAATCAAATGAAATTTATGCAAATCGATAAATACAAATTCGTTGAATTTTCAATGTGTCGAAGCGACAGCAATAGAAGGATATCGAATTGAAAATCCATTGAGGTTTGAAACAAGCAAACAAAAAAGTAACAGACGAATCATTTGAATGATTGTGTTAAGTTATGTTTGTTGGAGGCATTTTCATGGCGTATTGCCATCTCCTCCATTTCGACTTCGATAACAAATCACAAGTTCAAGTTTCGGTTGCCCGCAAAAAGATATGCTACCAAGAGAAAATGCGGTATTGGAATTTTCAACGAAAAATGCACAGAGTGTTGTGTGTTCACACAAAATGACACTGAAAACGACTTTAAAGCATTATTCAATGGTATCGCTGGCAAATTCTTCGGTCGCTCTCTCGCCCCCCTTCTCTCTTCCATCTGTTTCTTATTCTCATTCTTTGGCACCGTAAACCGACGAGCAAAATTAAAGAGTTTTGATTCGATGCTCTCTGAAGTGTTTTACAACGGTGATATCGGTATATTTGGGTATGTGTTTGTGTGTTATATTATACATGCTACATGTATTTGAGTAAATCGTTCGCAATTAAACGAATGTTTTGGTTTCAAAATTATAGCCGTGCAATCTTTTCTTTACGACTCGATTATGTACGGTTGTTTGACGGTGCGACGCTACTTTGCCCTCAAAAGAAAACTTCCTCTTCATTTTCTTAATTCATTCAAAATGTCTAAAGGGAAACTCCGTAAAATTTGTCTTTCTCTCAAGCAAGTACACAGGCGGTGATATTGCGCACCACTTTATGTTCAAATCAAATTGCTCCCCAATGAATTCACTGATCCAAACTGTTTGCTTCTTTGTTTCAACGAACGAACGAAAACTTTATATATATACTATAATATTTTTTTTTTCTTTCTCTTCATTGTTTCATCGTTCTTAGTCTTCTTCTTCGTTTTTCTTTGTGTGAGTTTTGCACTGCTTGCTCCGGTATTTTTCTTGGCTTTTCCGCTGGAAAATCAACAACACAAAACTTTACTTGTGTTGTGTTTTCTCTCTTCTCATAATCTTTATCGCCACTGAAATTCGACAATGAAGCCAAAAAGAAAATGTTCCAAATTTCTTACAAATTGAGGCAGCCCTATTATGTATGTGGTCCTACATTTAAAAAAAAAAAAACGCTCGCGCCTTTTCAT